GTGCCTCCGTTATTTTTAGCAGCAGCTGTAGGAAAGGGCGGCAGGAATGCGGGATCCAGGGGCAGATGGAGCCGGGGGGTGGGGGCTGCTGGATCCGCAGCAGCGCTCGCTCCCGGAGCGCTCCCGCTCTGTGCTGGGCAGGTTTGGGGCTCCTCGATGGAAATCACCGAGAACGGTCCCAAAATCCTTTGTCTGGGGAAGCAGGATCCTGGTTTTTAACTCTAACATGAACGTTTAACGGAAAACAGGTCAGGAATCCTGAGCTCCAGCACAGGTATTTGAGGAATTTTAGACAGGTGGAATTTTAAATTTTAGATTTTAAATTTTAGATTGCTGCCAGGACTGTTAATTCCAAATATACTGACGCAAAGGGAAAACCGGGCACTGGAGCCACCCGTGCTCACACCCAGGTTTCCGTGTTTCAGAATTGCCTTGGTCTAGGAAAACCAGGAACTCCTCTGTGGCACAAAGGATGTTCCTGGCAATGAGAAGTTGGAGAGAGACTGCAAGAACAAAGGGAAAATGTGGAATTTAGTTCTGACAGTGAGAGGCCAGAGTGGGGGCAGTGGGCAGGGCTTGGAGACCTGAGTGATTTTAAAGAGAAACATATAAAATAAATATGTAAATATAAAAAATAGCTCAGCAATAGTGCGCAAATTTATGCACACATATGTAAAATATTATAGAAATATTTCAGAATTTTATATATCAATCTGCAAAGTGTCCCTTCCAATATTTCTGATCAAACACAGAAATATGCAAAATGTCACATAAATATTCAAAATTTTCTGTATAAACACATAACAAGTCAATCAATATTATAAAATTCTGCATAGAACTATGTAAAGTGTCACAAGGATATTAAACATTTGTCCATGTAAATATATAAACCACAAATAAATCTGTCAAATCCTCCCTATTTCAGGGAAAAAGAAATCTGTGTTTCCCTCTCCCAGGAAGGCACACCACCGGCAATCCATGGTATTTATTGAGGAAAATCCCTGGAATGGAGGACCAGAGCCGGCAGGGGTTGATGGCCAGGCAGTTTGTCCAGGGCAGTTTCTAAGGGGTTAATTAGGGAACAGCTTCCCAGGGAAGCCAAACCCTCTCCAGCGCTCAGGAAGCTCCCAAACCTCCTCCCCACCCCG